TCTATTTCATGATTTGTTTGTCTACGAAAAGATGCAAGTATGTTCTACGATGATATATACACGAAAAGTTACTTTTTGTATGAATTTCACAAACGGGCTGTACGCATAGTAAAAGATGCGAGCATGCTACTACGATACTAACGAAAGGTTAAATTTATGTATGATTGTTCATTAGCCAAGTCGGAGCAGGACAGTAGGACCTTAAGCCCCATTTGCAAGGTTAGGTCTATTTGATAAGGCCAACTTCAAGTTTGGTCAAAGGTCAAGAGTTGTAAACAGGGCTAGCGCTAATCCCAGCCCTAACCCTGGACTATCCCTATGCTTACCCTAACCCTAACCTAGTCTAACCCAAAATCACATGCCCTAACCTTACATGTATTTACATCTCAGTGACCTTGACAAAATTTGAGCAGGCCTTAACAAATAGATTTACTCCATTTGAAATCAGAGTAAAAGATGCTATTACAAGAGACTAGCAAAATGTTACTTTTCTGTATGAATGTAACGAAGAGTAAAACTTTGTCGAGTGCACATGTAACATACGCGTGCCGTATTTCTCTGTTTGTAGAAAATCACATGTAAATAAATAACAAGTGGATGGCCTTTTTACAGTTGATACATGTTTCCGAACATGGCACAAATGCACAGTGACGGAAACTTTAAATATAAAATACGAAGACTAAATAAAACAATTTCAATCAGAATTTATTATTTATTATAAATATTTAAATTAACAAAAATTCACATTCTCTTTGTGGATAAATAGTTATAAGCTGGGCAAAGTAAAAAAAATCCATTGGAAGAATTCACTAAAATCAAGATAAGATATTAAAATATATTGCCTTGTGGAAAGTGATAATCATGTATTCATGAAATTTGTTACTTTTTAGACTATTATATAATTAGCTACATATATTTGGTATTAACTATTTAAAACAGTGGGAGGGGGTGGGGGAGTGGCCTAACACAAACACTTTAGATCATAAGGTCTTTTTTTGTGTGAGAGAGAGAGAGAGTGACAGATTGGGTTTAACTCAAACTAATTTTATTTCAATAATTCGCTTGTGCGTAGGGGTCTTAAGGAGTGGGAGGAGAACGTAGGACCCAGAGAAAACCCACAAGGTTGGACAGGCGACCCTTGACCCTTCTCCCTGTGACGTACAGCCAGTTGACTTGATGACATACCTTATGATACAACGCGCACATGCTAACCATTCGACCTTCTACCCCCCCCCCCCCTCTTGTATTGAGCTTTTACGTGACGAAGAGTAGGGTTGCCTGCCCTCTGGTGTCCTTCCACTGCTAAAGACCCCTATGTTCAATCATATTATAAAATTGAACAGTAGGATTAAAATTGCCATTTTAGTTCATCTTGTTTGGGTCTCTTCTCTTACTTTAGAAAAAGAAAACCATTATGCCGGACTCGTCCATCATGGAAATATTGTTGAGACAATATCTCCTTCAATTCATTTCATTGAATGCTAGACAATGATATTCTATTTTTTTTAATATGATCAACGTCTACAAAAAATCCACAGTATTCTAATAGATATCCTGTCTACATTAGCCCAGTTGTTGCAGAAAAGTAGGCGTTGAACCCAGTTTCATTTCATCTAATGAAACTGAATGAAATGAAACTGAATGCTAGACGTCAATAATATTCTTTTTATTTGATATGATCAACGTCTACAAAAACCCACAGCATACTAATAGATATCTCGTCTACATTAGCCCAGTCTTTGCGGAAAAGTAGGACGTTGAACCCAGTTTCATTTCATCTAATAGATATCTACAAAAAAAAAAGCCCAGTCGCTACAGAAAAGTATGACATTAAACCCAGTTTCATTTCATCGAATAGGTATCTACAAAGAAAAACATCTAAATATCTTCTTTTCATTAGCCCAGTCGATGCAGAAAAGTAGGACGTTGAACCCAATTCCATTTCATCTAATAGATATCCTGTCTTCATTAGCCCAGTTGGTGCAGAAAAGTAGGATGTTAAACCCAGTTTCATTTCATCTAATAGATATCATCTTAAAAAAAAGGGGGGTTGGATGGCTGAATGGTTAGCGTGCGCACGCTGTATCATAAAGTCTGTCATTGAGTCGACTGGCGTGGTTTCAAATCCCTGGTTGTACGTGACAAGGAGTAGGGTCGCCTGTCGAGCCTCGTGGGTTTTCTCCGGGTCCTCCGGTTTCCTCCCACTGCTAAAGACCCCTACGCGCAAGAGAATTATTGAAATAAAATTAAACCATATGTTAGCCCCGAAATGACCTAGTTTGTGTCGACTGGACGTTAAACCCCATTTCTCTCTCTCTCACCCCCCCCCCCCCCAAAAAAAAAAACATCTAATCAATATCTCGTTTTCATTAGCCAAGTCGGTGCAGAAAATTATGACATTGAACCAAAATTCATTTCATTTAAAATAGATATCCTGTCTTCATTAGCCCAGTTGGTGCAGAAAAGTAGGACGTTAAACCCAGTTTCATTTCATCTAATAGATATCATCTTAAAAAAAAAACTGAAGGATAGCATGGTATAAAGGATATTGTATGTGTATAGACCATGAGACTATCAAATTTATCGACTGATGTCAAAGTTGAACTGTATAGGAGATATATGGGTATAATGGTTATTATTGAAACTAGTGAAACTTGAGTAGCAAGTGGAGAATTAATGAGGGATGGACCACATCCCACTTGCTTAAATATTTGAATTGATTTGCTTCGCAAGATCAGGTAACAGGTATTTCCAGGGATGATATTACCTGTTGATAGGATCTTGAATTTTTGTCAAAGTCACTTCAATGTTACCTAAAAAAAAAAAAGGAAAATATATATATATAAATATATTATATATAGATTATAGAAATGAAATAAAATAAAATGTTCTTTAATGTCCACCTTTTCTGCATGGACTAGGCTAAAGAAGATGGGCATATGCCATGCTATGTGCTAAGAGGGAATTTATGCCCATATAATTTTCCTCCCACTGCTAAAGACCCCTACGCGCAAGCGAAATATTGAAATAAAATTAAACCATATGTTAGTCCCCAAATGACCTAGTTTGTGTCGAGTGGACGTTAAACCCCATTTCTCTCTCTCTCTCTTTGAACTATTTTTGGACTGATGATACAACTTCTACGATATAGCAATTTGCAAGGATTTCAAAATCCTCCAAATGACAGTTGATGACTTGAGCTCCATATATAGACCTACATTAATAATTGAGAACATTGTCACAAGTTTTAGGATGGATAGTTATGCGGCTGATGTTAATTGATCCTTCAAATTCTAGAAATTCAAAAAAAATAAAACTTCGACATTTTGTTTTGTATGTTTAACTACTCCAAAAAGAAATTGAAAATGTCATCTTGCTCTTGTGTGAATGAACTTGGGGAAGATCTCATGTTGAGGATAATGTTAAGTAGTCGGAGTTATCCCCTCTTCCTGATTCTTTCAGATTAAAAACCACAAAGTCTACATCAAAGAGGGTTACATATGGTCAACATATTATTATATTCGTATAGTATGAGTATATAATTACAGAATAAGTCTGTCGTAAATGTATAAGTATCTGAAAACTGTTACTCCATAACCCACGAAGAGCTCTAGAACCAAACTCAAGCCAATAAACTAATATTTGCTTAAGATATTCAATTCTTTAAACAAAAAATAAGCTTATTATCTGACATTAATTTTAAAACGAACAAAGATTGCTTTAGAATTTCTGCCCTCTAAAATTATTGAATTTTATGAAACCATTGTTGCTTTAATCCAATTCTTCATTTTTATTCGGTAATTGGAAATATCTCTAATCCATACCTATACAATTATTTTGCAAGGATTCATTAAAGTTTGATAGAAGTTTATTATTTTAGTCTTACTCATCCATTTCTATAATTGCTTTAGCCGATGGAAATTTCATTATATTGTGACGGAAGAAAATTGACTAGAAAGGTTTTTGAAGGGAACCAATCTATTGGTTGTAGCATAATTGATTATTGGAGATCAATGCCATGAGAAAATAGCAAGACCCAGGTGGCTGCCGGCAGGAAAATCGATAAGGGTATCGCTGATTAATGGTGAATGGCTTATCGAGAAAAAAAAAATCAGACTCATTCAAATCAATAAGGAATTGAATACTGGTCTTCGTATTGACAAAAATAATAATTGTAATGACAGGTTATCTTTAGGGATTCTCTCAATCAATAAATTTTGGGATATCTCGTGGAATTGTATTGATTTCAGATGTTCGGGGAATCGATAATTTCATCCAATATTTGTTGGTTTTAGTCATATCGCATTATTCAATATCTACCGATCTTCGTAATTGAAACATGGTTTCCGAGACATGACGATGTGAGCTTTATACAGTTGACATCTTGGAGACAGTATGCTTTCGTTAGCAAGATATTGTAGATATATATAAAACGTTGAATGATGGTATATTGATATCTGTTAATAATGTTCTGTAATATTTTGCCATCTGGAGTCTGCAATGCTACTGTTGCTTACGTAGGTTATCTTGACTTGCAGTGTTCTTTTGTTTATATCATCATTTGTTCTTTGGATTTGTCATCTTCATCATCTTCACAGCCACAATGTTTGTCTCATCTTAATCATCTTCACAGCCAAAATGTTTTTAGCATCTTCACAGTTATCATAATTTTCATCAATATAACAATTGAAGAGTTTTGAACTGTTTTCATCTTCATCATCTTCACAGTCATCATAATTTTCATCAATATAACAATTGAAGAGTTTTGAACTGTTTTCACCTTCATCATCTTCACAGCCAAAATGTTTCTTTTCATCTTCATCATCTTTACAGCCAAAATGTTTCTTTTCATCTTCATCATCTTCACAGTCATAATTTTCATCAACATAACAAATGAAGAGTTTTGAACATTTGTTCGTACAAAAAAAAAGGTGTGGAAAATACTTAAGTCCTACAATTTATTATTTTGATTTTAATTTTTGTATTTATTTTGTTTACAGAGGTGACGATAAAACAGTTAAAAGACAAGTTAAAGGAACATGAAGACAAACTTGAATCAACTGCAGAGGTGAGTTTCCTTTTTTTTCAAAAGAAAATAAAATTTTAAACTTTACTGTATTTATTCTGTTTAAAGGTTAAATGCTTTTTTTTACTCCTACAAACTATAAATTTAAGTGTATTTATTGTATTTTATATTTTATGTAGAAATTCTTTGAAATTTGAATTATATGACATGTAAATTGCCTGACAAGTTCTGCAGCTCGTTATTTTCCCATGTGTGTATTCAACATGGACGATGTGGACATAATGTAGATTAAAAACATAAACCTTGTCTATATTCAATACGTTGATGTGGGTGTGTGAGCCATGGTGGCTAAGTGGGGAAGACGCTGGCTCGCTAGCCTGGAGTCACATGTTCGATCCCAGCATTGGCCAAGAAAGTTGATCAGGTTTCCCCTTGTCTGTGGTGCAGGACAGGGGGCCTGACAAGAACAGCTGGCTAGTCGTTTGGATTCGACAAAAAAACGAGGTCCCGTGTAAACATTGGCTTGTACGTAAAAAATTCCTTGGCACTTGGAATTCGATATAAGAGTAGGCCATAGTGCTGCTGCCTGGGTAAAATTTTCCTCATAGCACACTGTATGGCATATGCCCGTCTTTATTAACCTAGTCAGAGCAGAACAGTAGGACATTAAACCCTATTTCATTTCATTTCACCGCCTTGGGCTACATCCGATTTATGAAGAGCAGACTTTAAACCCCATTTCATTTGATAACCAACTACGTGACGATATAAAACTTTTTAATTTTTTTAATATTAAGATATCAAATCTTAATTCCACATCTTAAGGTTTTAACATTCCGATATTAAATGTTGTAATAGAGGATCTCATTTGATTATAATAGTCTGTGTCTGAAGAAATTAGAATTTTTAAGTTCATGAGGATTTTATCTTCGGGTTTTATAATATGAAAAGATTTTAAGATGGTGTTTGTTTGTAAGCTGTAAAGATGATGAGATTTGTCTCTTACTAGCGTAACAACCCTTTGAAGAAATGGCTTGTTTTAATAATGGCTTTTTAGCAGCCAAATTAAAAGTTATGTTTGATGAAATGTCGGGATTTCTGGAGTGCAGGTATTGTTAGTACGTTTCATAATATTCTTATCCACCTGTCATTATTCATGATGTCTGGTTGCCACTGACTCTTGGTAAATTTTGTCTTTCTGACTTCAAAGAGATGCCATGTTGAACAGGGGAGGCTGTTGCGTTATGTATTGATAATATGAAACCATACTGATCAGACGGACTGATAAATATATCTAGTCTTTCATCAAACGACTTGCGATACATTTCAACATTTGTTATTTCTATTTATTCAAAAGAAAGGAAATTTTCCGTGGCGTTTTGCCATATGGTACTCTGATTACAGAACGATTCTCAATTACTGTTTCCCATGCAGTCACATGTGAAATTTGTTACTTATATCAGAATTAGATTCCAGTTCTCTTCAAATATTGATTCAAATCACAGAGTTTCAGGCCATTTTATCAGATTTATTGAAAATTTGAGAAGTTGGAGTTAAATTGTTTGGCAGTATTTCAAAAGGAAGTTATTTTATTTAGAAATTTTAAAGATCTTTTTTTTAGGTTATTCCCAGTCAATGTTCTCTTTTAAAATCTATTATCGACTTTGTTCAGATAAAACATACATGTTAATGATTCCAAAGCTGTTTATAAATTGAGATTTGTCCTATATTTGCTGCAAGTATGTTGATGATCTCAAAGCAGTTATAAGAAAGGTTTGATTCATTATAAATTGATACATATTTGTTGATGATCCCAAAGCAGTTAAAAAATTATGATTCATTATAAATTTGAAACATAAATTTTGAAGATCCTAAAGCAGTTAAAAAAATGTGATTTGTTATAGATTTGCTACAAGCATGATGATGATCCTAAAGCATTTTGATGATCCTAAATTGTGCTTCATTGTAAATTTGATACAGAAATTGAGATTTTGTGCCAAAGCTTCTAATTGACATATTTTCAAATAATTTAAATTGAACGGTCAGCTTTAAACTGGACACAAGTACAAATTAAATGATTGTGTGATTTTGGATGATTTTTGCTAATATACAAAATGGAAACTTGATTTAAAATGGGCAATCCCCATTCGATATATATAAATAAACTTGATGCAAAACAACTGGTTAAAACCAAATAGAAGTATTAAAAGTAGGTTATTAAAGTTGTGTAATGTCTATAAATTCATAAACAGAGAGAATATTTTACAGATCAAAAGTGGCCAATCACGCTATTTTACCGAGATTTCGTCTTATGGTTTGGATGCAGCTATTGCGGGAATGGTGCCAGGCAGGGTAAGCTTACTCTTCTGGACACCTGTTACCACTGTTTGTCATGTATTTTGTACACGGTGAACAGTCCATTTGCTGATTACACCATTTTGCCTATACCGTTTTTTTTTAGGACTTCGAATTTTGTCTGATGGTTTGGATTGTTCGTACTTGGTTTTATTTTATTCATCGCGAAAGGTTTACAATAACTCATTAAACATATCCTGTTTAGAGAAAATATCTTTCTTTTTAATCATCTAAAATCCCACCAAAAATGCCATCAGGCTATCAGGAAATATCTGAAATCAGACTGTTTTTTTAATTCTCTCCCCTCGAATAGCTATCTAATCCATATGATTGTTTATTGCTGTCAAATCCCAGAGCAATGACAGTAAAAAGTTTGGCTTCAAAAGTTTCTTTTTATTTAAATATTCTGAAGTGATCTCTATCTGTATATAGGGAATTGAACAGTTTAAGCTTCTCGGAACAATTATTGCACAAACCAATGAAAAATCACTAAGCTTAGCAAAGCATCGTGGGCTTGCACAAGCAGACGGACGGCTTACAATCAGACTTGGAGTCCATTATCAAGAGGACTAACCCCTCTGACATGACATATGACATCAATCAAATATGTCGATTTGAGCCTATGAAGTATTTTCACAAGAGATTTAACACCGGTCCTTGTTGCACACGATTACAGTTTCAAACCAATTATACTGATTGTGTTCAGCCATTATTGATGGTAATGGAAAGAGCCGATTGATTTTATAAAGAGACACAAATCCCTTTCACTCTCACTTCACGATGCTTGGGCCATTATTTTTTTTTATTTTTTTTTTTTGTTGTGTTATCTCATTTCTGCGAGAGGATTTTGCAATTATTGTAGCATCCTTTCGTATTCATCTTCCTATAAATTATTGATAGGAAATCATTGAGTGTTCATTTTGAAATGAAAATTCTATGAACCGATCTAAGCCTTTGATGTTATTTTTTCTTATGTTTCATTTCAACTTTCAGTTGATAAATATAGGTTTACCTACGAGATATGAATTAAACGTACAACGCCACTCCCAGATGGGATACAGGCATTCTGTCCCAGGACAAAATGGCAAAGCAAAACATTGACTCAGGACAGCAGATCACAATATTAATGTCACAAGGATATTTTTAAATTTTCATTAGTTCTTATCATAGGCGTACGGGGAAATGTTTGACTGGGGGGGGGGGGGGCGGTGGTGGTTGGTGCCCAAAAAATGTAGTTACGTTCTTAGTATGTTACATAATAATAATAAATTCGCTGTTAAATTGGACACATTCAAGAACACAATATCTTTTTTTTATACAACTTTTACAAAATACAATTGTGTGCACAAATTTTCCCAGCATTTGGTGCCCAAAATGGGGGGTCGGCTGCCCCCCCTGCCCCCCCAGCTCGTACGCCTATGCTTATGTGCCATTTGCATTTTTGGGGAAATATCAAATTTTCAATGGTTTGAAAAATGGCATTAAGATTTAGATAAAGAGCTGGATGTTCTGGCTATAATAGTTCAAAAATAGAAAATGAAAAATTAATGTATTGAAAATTTCATTTAAATTACTTTATTCTGGGCGAAGTTATGAATATTTAGATAAAGAGCTGGCCATTCTTGCCTTAATAGTTCAAAAGTAGATAATGACAATTGAATATATTGAAAATTTCATTTAAATTACTTTATTCTGGGCGAAGTTATGAATATTTAGATAAAGAGCTGGCCATTCTTGCCTTAATAGTTCAAAAGTAGATAATGACAAATGAATATATTGAAAATTTCATTTAAATTACTTTATTCTGGGCGAAGTTATGAATATTTGAAGATGTAGCTTAGGTTGTTCATTATACTAGCAATGTTACTGAAGTATCAATTATCCATTATATTGTTAAATTTTTAAAATCTTGCGGGTGTTCTATTCCATGTAACTCACGCCTATCCGATGTCCTAGAGAGTTGATTATAGGCATGTCATGTGAATAAATGTCCAAATAATAGTTTATATAACTTTTGGAACTAACATAAAATACTCCGGACTTGTGACAAGCCCTGTAAGGCCCTGTAGTAATTTAAGATCACCATACTTACATTCTAACCCAACATGGAGGGTTTGATGGCCGAATGGTTAGCATGTGCGCACTGTGTCATAAGGTCTGTCATTGAGGCAACTGGCGTGATTTTGATTCCCCGGTTGTACGTGACAAGGAGTAGGGTCGCCTGTCCAACCTCGTGGGTTTTCTCTGGATCCACCGGTTATCTCCCATTGCTAAAGACCCCGACGCGCAAGCAAATTGTTGAAATAAAATTGAACCATGTGTTAGTCCCGAAATGATCTAGTTTTTGTCGAGAGGACGTTAAATCCCATTTCTCTCTCTCTCTAACCAACATTAATTATTTTTTAAGATGTAGTGTAGATTGTTTATTATCGTTGCAATTGTACTGGAGAAACAAGACTAAATCTCAATTATCCATTTTGTCATTGAATTTTTAAATCTCACAAATGTTTAAATCCATTTTAATCTTGGCCATCCGATGTTCTAGAGAATTGATTATATGCTTGTCATGTGAATAAATGTCTAAGTAATATTTTATATAACATTTGAAACCAAAATAAAGACCTGCAATAGACAGATTTAAGCCCTTACATAATGTATGTTTAACTGCATGGATTAAGGAAAATTGTGGCTGATGTAGTTGACTGTAACAGTTCATATTTCATCTTGTCTGTTATTGTAATTTAATCAACAAGTGAGATTACGAATAGAATACATATACATGTTCAGAATGAAAATTAAGTTAAATATCCTGGTCCATTATATTTGAGAATATACCATGTTTACATACATGTAGCATTTTGCAAAATGGGACTACACAGGTACAAGGAAACCAGGAACGTAATAGGGTATAATTAATGTCTTGCTTTTTTGCACTAATACGGAGTGCGGAAGTATTGTGGTTTACCTGAAAGGAAATAGGGTTTAATGTCTTGGTTTTTTGTACTAATAAGGAGTGTGGAAGTGTTGAAGTTTACACTGATTGGATTCTTGACTAGAAAATCCCTGGCCTGAATCTTGGTGTTCGTCAAGTAAAATCACAGGTTTTTTTTTTAAGTCCTTCGGTTGGGATGTAAAAATGAGATCTATTCATTACTTCTTGTAAAAGAAAGGGAAAAAAAAATTATCAAAAATATCTGGACACGTCACTGTATGGGCAAAATTCTCCTCTCCAGCTTTGCAAATGATCTTGAAAGAAATTATCTGTTTGTTAGTCCCAAAATGACTATAATACATGTATTGTGTGGGCTGAATCCATAAACTCCATTACTTCCCTTTCTTAAGATAATTAAATGATATAAAAATCCCAATGAATCATAAAAGAAATAAACTTTATCTGTTTTATAATCACTGAAAAACATGTGGGCGGAGTGTACAGAGTCATTAAACTACGCCCATCTTCATTAGCCCAGTTGGAGCAGAACAGTTGGATGTTAAACCCCCTTTCATTTCCTTCAACTCCATTACTTTCCTTTCCTAATATAATTAAATGATATAAAAATCCTAATCTGGCTGTAAGTAGATTTGCACGCAATCTCAAGCAAACAAATCAGTCATTTGCTAATCTCTGCATTTCAACGACTTCTACCGAAACAGAGTACGAGAGTACGGTAAAAAAAATGAAGTAGTGCAAGTTTTTCCCCTGTATCAATAGACTGTTATATACGGCCATATTACATACAATGTGTTGTTTAGTCAATGAATTCTACCAGTCAATAGTTTTCGTGTAAACACTTCATAATTACAACCTCACAACACCCCAAATAAGTGGCAAGTCTTTTGTAAAACAGCGTAGAGGGGAAATTGTCTGAATAGAGGGGAAATAAATACTGTATAGAACACTTTTATTGAGATCTTGTCGAGAGCATTGAAATGACAAAATAGAAATCAGAGGTAGCCATCTTAGCCTAATAAAAACCTGTTTAGATACTTTAGTAGATTTTGCTAGAGAGCTTTATGGCTTCCTTCAGTCAGTTAGCTTACTGCTGATGAGTTTGGGAGTTATGTCATGAGGGATCGGGGACTATTGTCGAAAACCCGAGAGACCAGTTGAAGGAACATCTGGTCACGGCTCACTGATTTCAAGCAGCTTCAAAATAAAAATCACTTTGCCTACATCACTCGATTCTAGACAATCCACTTTTATTTGAATTCTGTAAATACTTAGCAGTTGGAGATTTGGTTGGGTTGGTATTCATAGTTTGATAGGCCGCCGATCACTGAGCCTGGATGTATGTGTCAACAGCTCGCTCTCACTTGATCTACAAGCTTACCAGTCAAGCAAGAAATCAATCAAACGTGAATCGTTGACAGAATGAGATCAGGCTTCACATTAATACATATATATATATATATACTGTACCCACACACACACACACACACCTATCACATCTTAATGGCATTGTCATACATCACACTGTTGTCGGCTGATCGGACCAGTTAAGCCATGGATGCTCAACAAAACTTAACAATCACTTTAAATTAGTTACCACTAAACAATGGACTTTGATCTTTTGACAGAGTCGAGCCAAAGAAAAAGAGAGGGAACTGCAAAGAAGTTTTGCCGAAAAAGAACGTCAACTTCAAGAAACCCAGTTAGCCGTTGCTAAGAAACTCGGAGAAGCAGAACAAAAGATTTCATCACTTCAACTATGTAAGTATCCACCTACCTGTAGTAACAATAAATAACAATTATCACTCTGTTTAGTGTATATATATGTATGTATTAAAGCTCGTTGCCTCAGGTGTACCGTTTATAGTTACCTTGTCATATATAAGCTTACATTATCTACCTACCTCGGTATCAGATACTTTTATCTGTATACCTTCACTTCCATTTTTTTTTTTTTTTTTTTTTTTTTTTCAATTAAGTTTTATCCTAATTCCATTAGTTTTAACAACTTTGAAATTTTCTTTTATTGAATTATAGATAAACTGTAAAGTTTCACAGCTTACATTATCAAGTCCTTAATTTTCTATAATTGTTTTTTTTTTTTTTTTTGTTTTTTTTTTTACACAATTAAGTTTTATGCTAATTCCATTAGTTTCAACAACTTTGAAATTTTCTTTCATTAAACTATGGCTAAACTGTAAAGTTTGTTAAAAGAAAAGTTTCACAGCTGACTGTGTGTAGTGGATACTTTGTCATTATACTTTTAATTAACTTTCTTTTATCTTAATTCAGTTTAATCTCAATTTATTGAACATTGGCTTAATAAAGTGGACTGTTTATGTGCCTAGCTTGGTGGGGGGTGGATGGCCAAATGCACACTGCATCATAAGGTCTGTCATTGATTGAGTCAATTGGCGTGGGTTTTGATTCCCCGGTTGTACGTGACAAAGAGTAAGGTCACCAGTCGACCTCACAGATTTTCCCCAGGTCTTCCGGTTTCCTCCCACTGCTGAAGACTCTTACGCACAAGCGAATTATTGAAATAAAATTGAACTATATGTTAGTCCCTTAATGACCTAGTTTGTGTCAAATGGATCTCTCCCTCCCTCTCTCTCTCTCTCTCTCTGTGAACTACAGGGAGCCAAGGTGGCTAAGTGAGTAAGATGCTCGCTCGCTTGCTAGCCTGGAGATTGAGGGTTCGCTATGGCCGATAAAGTTCATCAGGATTTTCCGGCGTGGTTTTCCCTTGTCAGTGGTGCAGGACGTTCGGATGGGACAAAAACTGAGGTCCTCCTGTGTATACATTGGAATGATGTAAAAGATCCCTTGCCAGTTGGAATTCGATATAAGAGTATTCCATAGCGCTGCTCTCCGAGCAAAATTTCCCTCATAGCACACTATATGGCATATATACACTGTAACCCAGGTATCATTTAATCTTGTGTATCTAGCACTAATTTCTTTCACATTCGTTTAATATCAAATCTTTGTTTAAAAATTTGTAAAAATCATTTAAAATCACTCAAAATCATTTAATTTGTACTTGGCTTGTATACCTGTTTTCATTAGCTGGGTTGGTTCAGAAAAGTAGGATATCAAACTTATTTCATTTTATATCCCAATTACAATGCTTTGAATTTTGCAGAAATTTCCTGGTTTGTATTATTGTATAAATTATCCGAGTCCTATGAATCATGTTTACGAAAGTCGTGTTTCAAAACATTTTAATAACTTTTTAAAATTTTTACATGTAACGAAAATAAATGTCGAATTAATTCACGGTTTATGGGGATGTATTTCCATGAATAAAATTTTGACACCAACGACAGGCTTCAATCACATGACATGTATTCAATTCTGCTAGCAGACGCACGAAACATAGACCTATATTTGGAAGGTTTGTTATGTAAATTGACGTTTACGTCTTTTATCACATAACCAATACATAGATTTCAAAATAATGTTTTAAAAAAAATCCTGAATCGACATGGTGTCCATTATTGGGCGATACAATGGCTGGTGTAACCTGACACGTTTGACAGTTTATCATCAGATAATATCTCAGGGGTTTTATTAAATAACTTTTATCTCTTCTCTTCACTACAACATCTTGTTTTCCTAGCCTATTGAGGTGATAAAGAGCATCACAAGGAAAATCTCCAACCCAAAAAAATGACAAATTGCAACTTCTTTGGATTATGATGATTTTCCTGAGGTATTCTTAAAGCTTTCAACCAGATTTACCACTTTGACATCTTCATTCTGCTAATCTGAGTGTCATGTTTATTTTTTTTTTTTTTATCCCCTATATTTATTTATTTATTTATTTATCCATTCTTCTGTTTTCGTGAACTTTATTTGTTTTAAATGTTTGCTGCTTTCATCACTTGAATGATAATTTGGTTAAGTCCACCCAACGCATTTTAAGACCTTTTCATAAATTAAGGAAGTAAATTTTGCGACTTAGATGCAAAATAAAGAAGTAGACATAGACAAGTCTGGATTGAGATGATACTTGAAAATATTTCTGGAATTTAATGTTTAGGTCAATATCATCCTGTGTAAATTATATATTCACTTTAGTTATAAAGGATTAACACTTGAGTGCCTTGAAGAAAAAAAATATATATTTTTACATTTTAAATTCATTTTAACTTTCCAAATTCATTGCAAATTCATTTAACATTGCAAATTTATTATAACAAATTTTATTTGAAATTATATTTTCACTTTAGATATAAAGCATGAACTCTGGAGTGCTTTAAAAAGTATGATAATGCCTTGAAGAAAACAAAATACATTTTAACGTTTCATATTCATTTCAACTTTCCAAATTCCTTGGAAATTCAATTAATATTGCAAATTTATTTTAACATGACAAATTCATTTCAACTTTCTAAATTCATTGCAACATTAAAAATTCATTTGAACATTAAAAGTTCATTTTAGTTTGTTTATTTTTAATTATTTTTTGTCTTTAGATCTAATTAATATGAATTAGCTGTAAAAAGTGACGAGTGTCTTGCATGAGAAAGTACATGCTTATTATTTTTAAAACACTAAATACGACTTCTTATTCATTTGGAAAATTTGGGTCTGACACAGCTAAAATTTCTACATGATTTATAAAGTGAATTAATAAGTGAATAGTGGGGTCAGTCCAGTCAATAAAGTGTCAGAATGTATTAATACTATTATTAATATTGGCCTGTACAAACTACATAGATACATGATATATTTGGACGTATATCAACTATGCTAAGGTGATATATGTGTTGGGGATGATGATAGCCCTCAGGCTACATTCAACTAAAGTAGTTAAGTCTTCATACTAAGCAATAAATTATGTCAATACCAAATAATAAAGTATTGTGTACATAGACAAGATACATCTATTTACAATACATATACTTTCTACAAAATACCAAAATAATGAATAAGTCAGGGGAGCTTATAGATATATATTGATGTCACTAACAAAATAGCAGCATAAAATTTCTACAAAATACCCAAATAATGGATATATTATTGATGTCGCTAACAAAATAGCAACATAAACTTTTACAAAATACCCAAATAATGGATAAGTCAGGGGAGCTTATAGATTTATTTTGTTGTCGCTAATAAAATAGCAACATAAAACTTCTACAAAATACCCAAATAATGGATAGATAAGATAAGATAAGATTTTATTGTATCGAAACATCCATTTAGGACAGCATACAATATAAACATGTACATAATATTTATAACAATATGACAAATAATATTTACAAATAAGACAACAGTAGTTTTAATCTCGCTTATAATATAGATTTACTAACAGGACAACAGTATGTAATGTACACATTCATAAGTCAGTATAAGGGAGCTTATAGATATATATTGATGTCCCTAACAAAATAGCAATATAAAGCCTATCCTTCTAACAAAGGCCAAAATAAAAATCTGATTAAAACACAGATCCTATTACGTTTGGTTTTTATAGTTCAAAATTTGGTTTTACTTGTCTTTACAACACTAGGATGTAGAAGAGTTGTTATATAAAGCGCGTTCTAGTTGAAGTGAGGGATTAGACAATGAAACGGTCTGTTACAGAAAGTTCTTGGCGTGCGATGCACGGAACTGTGGGTAAACCACTAGAAACGCCAACAGTGATTGATTAATCAATATCTGACGTCAAAGGGTCAAAAGCCGCAACAACTGGGCAGATCTTCATGTAGTGTAGGCCATCGAAAGTATAAAAAAATGAAACGAAATATAGATCTGGATTTTAATCAGATTGCCTGTATAACGAATAAGTCCATATAAGGGAACTTATGGATATATTATTGTCACTAACAAAATAGGAACATAATTAAAACAAATGAAATGAAATGGGGTTTAACGTCCTACTGTTCTGCTCCTAACCTGGGCTAATGAAGACGGGCATACGCCATACAGTGTGCTATGAGGGAAGTTTTGTCCGGGCAGAGGCACTATGGCCTGCTCTTATATCGAATATCAACTTGCAAGGGATCTTTTACGTGCATTTCAATGTATACATGGGGCCTCTGAACGACTAGACAGCTGTCCTTGTCAGGCCCTCTGTCCTGTACCACTGACAAGGAGGAAACCACGTCAGAAAGTCCTGATGAACTTTCTCGGCATAATTAAACCAATAGATCCATTGAAATTTTGTATTATGAACATGTTTAAAGTAACAATGCACGATTAGCATTTTTCGCTAAAGTTTAAAGATTTTCACAACAAAAATTCTCACATAACGCATGGCATGGTGTATGCCCGTCTTCATTAGTCTAGATGGAGTAGCAGGGAAGTAAGACATTAACCCACATTTCATAGATCAAAGTTCCTTTAAATATATAATGACTGGTTTTTTTTCTATTTATAAATTGAAATGTTTGGCAAAGGGGAGTCTTTTCTTGCGTAGCCGAGATACTTATTTATTAATCAAATTATATATGTATCACAAAAACCATTAAACTATATCATCTTATATTTTATTTAATTCACTAAATCTGGGAACGTTTGCCTTCAACATTTATTCATTCATTCATATAGCCATTTGTGTATGAACCTTAGTAGTTCATATGTAAATAAAAGCATATGTTTTGGGTTGTTTTTTTTTGTTACTGGCAACAAGATAAACTCGTATTTTAGGGATATGATTAAATAGAGTTCAATATTAAGGATTAAATTCAAATGACATGCATTGAATATTAAATATAGCTTTGTCGAATTTTAAAAGATTTCTCCATAAATGTGCTCTAGTTGTTCATATAGTTAGTATAGAGCGCTTGAATGGAAGATACATAAATTTGATATTTATGTTTTTTGAATAAATGCTTGATAGAGTTTTAATAATAAGCACATATCTAAAGATGCATTATATAAGAGCTAAATCTGCCTATAGCAGGTCTTTCTTTAGGCGGGGGGTTGGATGGCCGAATGATTCGCACGTGTGCGCTGCATCATAAGGCCTGTCACTGAGTCAGCTGGCGTGGTTTCGAATACCCGGTTGTACATGACAAGGAGTAGGGTCGCCTGTCCAACCTCGTGGGTATTCACCGGGTCCTCCGGTTTCCTCCCACGGCTTAAGACCCCTATGTGCAGGGCGAATTATTGAAATAAAAAATTAAACCATATATTAGTCCCGAAATGACCTAGTTTGTGTCGAGTGGACGTTAAACCCCATTTCTCTCTCTCTCTTTAGATCATGGGTTGGTCGTGATTTTTAACGGATTGAAACATGATTGCCATTTAATAATTTAATGTAAAAATGGATAATCAAAACTTTAGTTATCATCCTAACAACGGTATATAGCAATGAAAATCAATATTATGCTATTCTTCAAACAGTCATAACTTCGCTCAGAATAAAGTAAATTTGACTGAATTTTAAAAATATTTGTTTTACATTATCTATTTTTGAACTATTATAGTAAGAACGGCCAGATCTTTATCTAAATCTTACATAATGCATTTTAATCATGATTTTAAGTAAAGAAATATATAAATATATTGGTTTGAATTTTTATTGCTTATATATCCCTATCTTGATTGAAGGTGATACATGAAAATATCGTGATTTCGTAGATATTAATATACATTTTATGCAGGCTGTCTATTATAAATTCTTCCATGAATAGTTGCTATTTGAAAGACTGGATAAAAATGAGACATAGACTTGTTCTATCAAGTGATCATGACAACCAGGTTATATCGCACATTAAATTTCAAATTGGAATGTTAATGTGTGTAAGATTATTCAGCCCAAATCTTAGCACAAGGTCTTGCATAAGATAAGCCAAGTTCGGGGCGAAAATAAATGACTTTGTCAAAATAAAGATATCCAAGTAATTTACACCAGTGTTTGGGGGTTAATACATTACTATTTAAAGGCCGAGTCACACTAGTGGATTTCTCCTTTAAGATTAATCCTAGCGAAAGTCTTATAGGATAAATCCTATAGGTTTTTGTGGTCATACAGTAAGTAAAATCCTATGGGTTTTGGTCATGTGACACAGTTAGCAGAAATGTAAATAAGACTTTTCTCGCGTTTATGGTAATCTTGAGATTAAATCGACCACAGGAGAAATCCACTAGTGTGACTCGGGCTTAAGCGTGCATTAACATGTATACATAGATGTCTATAGACTGGACATAAATCCTTAAATTAATGGATTTAATGTTTACTTTTACTAGTTTATTACTAGCATACTTCATTTGTCATCATCAGAACAGAAATAAAATTTGTCAGAACATTAAAATTTAATTTTTTCATACATAAAATAAACCAGAACTCGTTTAAAAAGTGGGTCATTGTTCTAAATAGTCATGTGATTACAGGAATTAGCAAATTGACGGACTGGTCATTTTTGTAGATCGCTGTTCGATCAGTCTATAATACAAAGTAAAATTTTATGGATACATGATTACAGAATTTATTATTATGCAACGTTTCGACGAGTATGTGCTCAACTTTTAAGTGTATCATCTCAAAACATTGCGTATTAATAAATTCAATACTTGTGTATTAATCCTATTTAGCCCTGTATTAATATGTTTAATTTCCAAAAGCCTATACAGGAGTGGGGGGTTGGATGGACGAATGGCTAGCAAGTGCGCGCTGTATCATAAGGCCTGTCATTGAGTCAACTGGCATGGTTTTGAATCCCCGGTTGTACGTGACAAGGAGTAGGGTCGCCTGTCCAACCTCATGGGTTTTCTCCGGGTCCTCCGGTCGGTTTCCTCCCACTGCTAAAGACCCCTACGCGCAAGCGAATTATTGAAATAAAATTAAACCATATGTTAGTCCCGAAATGACCTAGTTTGTGTCGAGTGGACGTTGAACCCCATCTCTCTCTCTCTATACAGGAGTAATATCAGTATATATCGATCCCTCTAAAACCAAATAAATTTTAACTTTATTTCAGAATGTTCATAGAAATACTCACATTGAACATATGTGATGAAAAAGACAAAAAATAATTTGAATCATATATTTAATAAAATGTCTTCAAAGTTGTTTATTTATTTTATTTCAGCTCTAGAAACTATTCAATCTGAGTTGTTTGAAGCTAAGGCTAAACATGATGAAACCTCCACAGCAAAGTAAGTTCAAAAATCCTCTCTCTCTCTCTCTCTCTCTCTCTCTCCCTCTCTCTCTCTCTCTGTCATTTCTCCAGCATTTCATTTCCCCAAAATGTTCAAAAATTAATCATTATACATCAAAAATCAATTGGGTTATTTTTTTTTTCACCTCTCCAGCAAAGTCATTTCTCCAACAAATAATTTCCTGACCACTGTTCAAAATTATTCATTATACATCAATAATCAATTGGGTTATTTATTTTTTCACTCTCCCTAGTGAAGTCATTTCTCCAGCATTTAATTTCCCCACCAATTGGGTTGTTTATTTTTGAATAGTAATTGGGAAATTAAACACTTGTAAATTGGACGCTCATTATCAAAATTAAATGGTTAGCTTTAAACTGGACCCAAGTACAAATTAGATGATTTGGAGTGATTTTAAATGGTTTTTGAGAATTTTCATACAAACATTTTGATATTGAATGAATGTAAAAGAAATTAATACTAAATACACAAGATTAAATGATAGCTGGGTTACAGTGTTAGGTAATTTTGTCCAACAGCTATTGTTCTGTTAATCAATTAAAAGGGAAATCAAAAGAGATCAAGGGTCAGAACACCTGGGGGGCTGAACATGGATGATGTGATGTGTCGTTAAGGGATGATGAAAAAGATGGATTGAATATTTCTCCAGTCTGACTGATTATTTCCTAAAGATGTGAAGGAATGTACAAACATGATATTAATAAGGTATAAAAAGACAATCCCATACTTAGAACATACCTAATTGTTTGTTTGTGATATTGTATATAGGGGATATATAAATCTAGTCCTGGTTTACTGGTCTCTTGTCTTGACTGCTAATGATTAATACAATGTGGTCGTGTGATGGTTTAACAATAAGAATGTTATCAGCATTTATTTACTATCTTGGCGTATAGACTCTTAAAGAGACATGCTGATCATGATTTTAAGGAGCTTACAAAATCCACATGGCAAAGGGACATGCTGATCATGATAAAAATGAAATGAAATAGGGTTTAACATCCTACTGTTCTGCTGTGACGGGCGTATGCCATACAGTGTACTATGAGGGAAACTTTGCCCAGACAGCGGTGCAACGGCCTGCTCGAATTTCAACTGTCAAGGGACCTTTTACATGCATGCCAATGTGCACCCGGATCCACGGTCAAAGTTCAACAGGTGTCCTGGTAGTAAAACAGACAGCCATCTAGTTATGCTTACTTTTGATAATATGCTCAGGTAGTAAAAATTTGTCAGCTTTAAAAGTGAATAATGTCACTTTATACTCTGTACTATCTCATTTTGGGGGGTTGAATGGCTGAATGGTTAGCGCGTGCGCACTGCATTATAACGTCTGTCATTGAGTCAACTGGCGTGGTTTTGAATTCCTGGTTGTACGTAACAAGGAGTAGGGCCGCCTGTCCAACCTTGTGGGTTTTCTCTGGGTCCTCCAGTTTCCCCCTACTTCTAAAAGATCCCTACGCGCAAGCAAATTATTGAAATAAAATTGAACCTTATGTTAGCCCCGAAATGAAATGACCTAGTTTGTGTCGAGTGGACATTAAACCCCATCTCTCTCTCTGCTGCCATACAGCTCAAAGTAAATATATTCTGCTTCTTAGCTGCTAGATGTTTAGCTTCTATAAATCTTGTCTCTTATAATTTAATAATGTATGTCCTCAACAGTGGTTGTCGTGTTCTACAGCAGTGTCACAGGTTTGAGAGAAATATGTTTGACATTGTGCCTCTTAATGTGATGGAAAGCTCATTGAAGGATGCCTAATACGTTTAACTGACCGACATTGTTCAAGATCTGTTTTTTGTCTCATAAAAGAGAAAATTGAAGAGAAGTGGAGTTCTTTTTTTTTTCCTGGACCGAAAGAATAGCGATTGATAAATGATTAATCAATACGAAAAGCATCGATAGAAAACGAGATCAACCAATAAAGAATCAATAATTGAATTTGTATCTATGAGGTTGCCATGGTTACTGAGCTAATTTCCAAGGTTACGAATGATGATAAATCTAATCGGACAAAACACAAGGGCTTGTAATTGATTTTCTCATACAGGTTTTAATGTAAAACAATTTTTTGATTGCTCCTAAAGGAACTAAATTCAATCCATAATTAGTTATTGATTTTGCTCGTTCACTTGCCTTTTCTTTGTCAGTGAAAAACTAATATTTTCACTCTTTTTCTTACACAATGATTGCTTCCTGCCATCCACATGCTTCTAAATGTCGCAAAACAAGATCAGTATTTGACATGATCGATCTTTTGTTTAACACGAAAGAAAAAATAAATTCAGAATTTTGCAACATCTCTTATCTTAAGAAAGCGATTATTTTTACAATAATTTGTTTTTAATTGGAAGCACTTCTACAGTTTGCTTCATCGGCAGACATAAAAAAAAGGGTTATTGAAAGAAGGAAGGTTGTGTGTTTTTGGACATTTTGGTCAAGAAAAGTAATTTTCAATAAGATTGATTGTAACACGATTTCAGCTTTTATGAATGCAAAGTTCTAATCGATCAACTTATAGTGTCGATGGTTAAGCCGTCGTAGCTTTTGACGAAAATAAGGACATTTTATCCATTGTCGATTATCAATCACTCTCTCGTGAAGCCAATGATTTTCAAAGTTGATCTTTTCTTAAAATACCATTTGGAAATGTTTGCTAGATTTGCATTTATGGAGTTAAGTAACTCGTTTAAGGAATTGCAGTTTTCGGTTGAATTAGAGACTTGATAATTGTGATGATCATTTAACCACTATAACTATGGCAAGTATATATATATATATATATATAGACATTGTTATCCAGGTACTTGTAATGAGAATTTGTGTTAGTAATAAAAAATAAGTGATCCTTTTATGACTGAATTTAAAATGACTATTTGGGTGCTGCTGGTTAATACGTAATTTTTAATTTGCCATGAATTTACTCAGTACTGTTTCATTGTATGCAAAATTTTAGGGAGTAAATTCAAACCTCTGATTTTTAGAAAGAGTTTGGGGGTTGGATCGCCAAATGATGTAATGCATGCACATTAGGTCATAAGGTCTGTTATTGAGTCAAGTGAGGTTTCGATTCCGAGCTTGTACGTGACAAATTATTGAAATGAAATTGAACCATATGTTAGTCCCAAAATGACCTAGTTTGTGTGGAGCGGAGCTAAATTCTCTCTCTCTCTCTCTCTCTCTAGGAGTTTGATAAATGCTCAAGAAAAATACCTTTAAAGTAGGTCACCCAATCGTAATCGTGAAAGAGCTCTTTATATGTATTTGATATGCGTTTTATAAAATGATAAAAAAATAAACGAAAGTAGAATAACAATATTCATAGGCGACAAAAGTGTCAAAATAAGAATATTAATCATTGACAAAGTGTTGTCATTATAACTCACAAATCGCCATGTTTTATGAACAGAAAAGTTATTATTAGTTTCCAAGCCATTAATATTTTCTCGTGAAAATGTCAAGAATGTGAATTCAAATCTTATACATTCAAAAATGCATTTCTATTTGATGTATTGTATTTGAAATGAATTATATCAACAGCAAACTATTTTCATTAATTTTTCGGGGAAATAATGGAAGATGTACAGATTTGAAACTAGGTATATGATTCAGATGTATTGGGAATTTTAAAAAGGGGATTTCCGCCTGCAGCCTAAGAAGTGAAAGCATCCTTAAGTTTTTTGATTGGCATTTAGTAATAGAACATATTAATACAAGGTACAATTTTATGGATATACAATTACTGAGTTTAATACTAAGCGACGTTTCGACAAGGATACTCTCGTCTTTATCAAGGAAATCGCTTAGTATTAAACTCAGTAATTGTATATCCATAAAATTGTACCTTGTGTTAATCCTTAAAGTTGCAATTTCATATTTTTAAATTATATTTTTAAAATTTATTAAAATAAAGCCTTAAAATAGATGGTAACTATAAACAGTCCTACCTTGTTAAAGAATAATCCTATTAATCCTATAATTCACTATTGCCAGTTGAGAAATTGGCAAAAATATCATTTTCAACTTCAAATTCATACGTTTGAAGATAGCTATTCCATGGGGGGGGGGGGGATAGAAAAACAAGGGAGGTAATTGTGTTATTATTTCCGGGGTCAAAGAATTTTTAAGTGGGAGAATAATACCTATGATCGTTGATAGTGAGTTGACAACCTATTGAGCAAAAGACATAGAAATAATTATATTTTGACTTTCTTAGAAAATATGAAATTATCGCTTTAACTTATAAATGTGCCAGTTTCTATTAAGATTTGTTGTATTTTATTGTAAGGTGGGGGTGGGTGGGAAGATGAATGGTTTAACGTGTGTGCTTTAGGTCATAGGGTCTGTTATGTTGTCAAGTGTTGGGGTTACAATTCCCAGCGTGTACGTGACAAGGTGTGGATTCGCTTACTGTCAGAATCTCCGGTTGTACGTTACAAAGAGAAGGGTCGCCTGTCCAACCTCGTGGGTTTTCTCTGGGTCCTCCGGTTTCCTCCCACTGCTAAAAGACCCCTACGCACAAGCGAATTATTGAAATAAAATTAAACCATATGTTAGTCTTGAAATTACCTACTTTGTGTTGAGTGGACTTAAACCACATTTCTCTCTCTCTCTCTCTCTCGCTTACTGTCCAACCATATCAGGTTCTCCGGTTTCCCCATTGAAATAGAATTGAACCATTTAATGTTAGTCTCAAAATGTAGTTTTTGTCGAGTGGCGGTTTAACCCCTCTCTCTCTCTCTCTCTCTCTCTCTCTCCCCTCCCTGTCTTTTGTAAAATATGTAGGTTTCAAATAAAATAAACAAATGATTTGTTAAACCGGATTTTATTAAATAAACATGACCTAAATCACCTCCTCATATCATTGCCCATCCTGCTCTCGGAAAATAAACAAATTAAACCAATCGACACAGAAACTGTATCTTAATTCATAATTAAAAATATTTCCCAGCAACCGTCTTTTATAGATTTAAAA